GCACCCCTTCCCAGCAACACGGGGAGGGCACATTACTTCCCCAGTGCCCCCCAAACCCTTCAGCTTAAGGAAGAGAGGTGGAGGGTCAAGGAAAGGAGAGGGAGACGCTGAAATATGCGGTGTGCATTGTGTATGTGATCGTGTGTGTATGTGTGTGAGCATCGTGGATGTGTGTATCTTTGTGTCTGTGTCCGTGAATGTTTGTATATTTGTGTGTGTATAGATGGGAGTTTGCTCGTAATTACCATAACTAATTGTTCTTACAGCAGTTAGAGCTGCTCTAGTCTGACACTAGTGTTCAGTCTCATTACTTGACCCCGTGGGCCTAGAATGACCCATCTCTACAGCACAGAAACCCAGACACATCTCCGCAACCATTCAACAACACCCCAAACAGGGAAAACACAATGCAAGCAGCGACTGCTTCTCGTCAGGTCTCTCCCCCTCCGCTTACCTGCTGGGTGAAAGCTGCCTGGGGAGAGGAAGGCGACTTGCTGCTGGCCCCTAGCTGACTATCTGGTTTGGTTTCAGATTGAAGCTCTTTAGACTCCGAATCAGCCGGCGTGTTGGGGAGCCCAAAGCCTTCTTCAGCATCCGCCATGTTACAAGCGTCCTTCGCTGAGGAGTCTCCCACTGCAGGCGTACACAGCAGAGAGGGGAGATAAGAGAGACATAAGTCAAAGCTGGCATTTAAGAAAACGTAGAGAGAGAGCTGTAGATATAGACCACCTTCTCCCCCAGCACGCCCTCTTCAGCTGCTTGGAGAGAAAATATTGGACCCTTTAACCGGTGGGGGCAAAGAGAAGACTCGACTTGATTATTCCAGTCCGCAGGGGAGATTAATTTTTTTATCAAACATCACACACACACAGATTTTTTATTAATCAACCCCCCCCCACGCACACACACCCGCACTCACACACACGAGGAAAAGATTAACAATATAGGTTAGCTGCCCTTCTAGTAAGCTGTTGGCTAAATATATCTGGAAAGGCCAATCGCGATAAGAAAGCGGGTATTTTGTTTTTTTGGGACGCGCTAGAGTGGAATTAATAGCTTATCCCAGATTTCACCTTTTTCAAGCCTGAGGCGTGAGCAACTGACCACCCTTGATTTTTATTCTGATAATAGCGCCCTATTCATGGAGCCATCGACAGCTGATATTGCTTAAGATAATTCCTTGGGAGAACTGAATTCCTCCAAAGGGCGCTTTACCCTCACGGAGACGGGAAGCAAATGATAAAACCTCATTTGCAAAGAAAAATAAAGTCCCCTTGCAAATGCAAACCGTGAAGCAATCAACATTCGCCCAGGAAAGTGCCTTCTCCATTCAGGTGCAAGCAACGTGTGAAGTTGCCTTTAATAGATAATATCAAGTAGGGTCACTGTAGTGACGAATAAATACATAAAATCAAGCCATTGTATAATTTCATGTATTAAATGTATCTGTCAGTTACACTTGCAGCTAAATTGATCTAACCTACAATATTACAGCAGAAATGCAAAATCGGAGAAACTAAACTGAGAGAAAAACTTCAATCAAATACTAACAGTAAAAAGTGAATTTCCAAGATTTTTTTAAATTGTCCTTTAGGCAGCAATGAGGGATAAAAGCGATTAAATTGCCTGTTTTCATTCTCTCTCTCTCTCTCTTCTTTTTTTAAGGCTTCAGAGCTTTGGTGCCATTTTAAATATTTTTACCCATTTAAAACCATGTCCCAGAGTCGTTTTTAAAAGCCAGGTCAGGTGGAGAAAGTGACCTGTTTTAAGCGCAATAAAATAATGGCTTCTCCAGGAGCTCTTTCCTTCCCTACCCGAATTTAAAGTGCCCTCTTTAAATATGAATCCCCACTTATAGTCTCCTTTAAGTATTGAGACGTGACGTGGTGGGTTTGCACTGGTGCTTGGGGGCGAAAAAGACGAATTAAAACAAAACGTGAAGGGGGACACATGCCACTTCCCTCTCCAAAGATCATTTTATAAAAGGATCTCGCTTCTCCCCCCACCCCCCCGCATTCAAATGCTCCTTTCCCATAACGCACAAGGCAGATGGTTTGTAATAAGTGGCTGAAGGGCGAAGTGGGAGGGGGGGAGGTCTCGGTGCAGCGAAGGTGTGTGAGAATTGCGTGTGTCGGGCAGAAGGGGATGATACACGGCTGCTGGATTTGATGTCTCACGGCTCCACGCAAAAGCCATGAGCGCTAATGGCAACTATGTTGTTCCAGCCACGCCAGAGCCAGGGTCCGTTTCAGGCTCCCGTCGCCGGGCGGCTGTTTTCACTCCGCTTCTCAGCGAGCACTAGACATCCTGCCCGAGCCATTTTTAATCGGCTTCTCTCGCGCGCCGGTCTCGCTTCTTCCCCCGCAACCGGCGAAGTTGGAAATAAGGCACGTTCGTTAAAACAAAGAGCCCGGAGCCGGGGCTGCAGCCGCCGCAGCTGCCGAGAATTTCCCGAGCCGGCTCGCTCCACACGTCGGCAGTTTTAAACATAATTAAGCAGAAGGGGGAGGGGGGCTGGAAAAATAACCACAGAGACTCAGCCCAATTGAGATCAGCCCCCCCCCCTTACGAGCGCCAGAGAGGAAATGGGGCTTGACAGAACCAGGCCTCGATCGCTCTATGAAAAATGCATCTTACGCTGCTAGCTAGCACCAAAGTGGGTTAGCAACAAAAAAAAACCCTGTCCTTTTGTTCCATCGTTTATTTGTGTTTCTCTTCAACCCCCCCCCCTCCCATCTCCCAGGAGGTTACCTGGGAGGAAACCCCTTTGCTGGTTTCCTCCCACAGGCCTTGGCATTCCTTGGGAAAGACAATGTCTGTGTAACAATGACCCCCCTGCCAGCACTTTCCTCTTGCTGTCCCCCCCCCACCCCCACACACACACAGACAGTGACGGACAGACAGGGCAATGGAAGATCCGTTACCTTGCGTGTTGAATTCAATGCAATCAACGCATTTCCTTTACTTTCCCCCCCCTTGCCATGGCAATGAGTGGCATCAGGCTGCTGCTTTGCATGTCCTTGAATGTATTTATGGTCAGACCCGCATTTTATTTTTGTAAAGCACAGCCTGGTGGGGGGGAAAGCTCTCCAATGCAACACTGTCTCTGGCCCTCTTTCTCGCCAAACACTTCCAGGTTGTCAGACGCACCAGAAAGGATCCTGAGACCGAGATAAAGCCTCCCCTCTCGGCCTGATCGGGCGGGTCCGGACTCTCCCCCACCCGGCCCCCTCCTAAGGAGGGGGGGGGGAGAGAGGGGAAGACGACAACCCAAAGTTGAGAGAGGGCGGTCGCTGTGTAGCAGGAGTAGCCTCCCCCAGCAGGTTTGTGATCCTGGCTAGTTCCCTCTCTCTGGAGAGCGGAGCGCGCTGCACATAGGGACTAGCTGCCGAGCGGAGGGCGGTGACGGCTTTGCTCGCCAAGTGTTGAGCTCTTCTGTCCAACCAGCTCTGATCCTGCGCCGAGTCTCTCTCTCGCCAGCCCCTCCCCCCCCCTAGCCTATTCTTCTGGCAGGCAAACGAGAACAAGGCACAAAGACAACCATCAAACTCACCAGTCACCCTGCCTCCTTCCCCACTCCCTCCCTCCTCCATCCATCTTCCCCACCCGGAGAGAAATTTCAAAGCTTGTGAATCCCCCAAAGAAACCCTTGGCTTCCCTAACACAAACCATACATCGACCCCTCTCCCATCCCCCCCAGCGCGCCGTCCCCCAAACACCCCTGAATATATAGGTTCATATTTTAAACCAACTCCCGAAAAATATTTTCTAGTTCTCTTGGGGGCCTTTGACATATGAAAAAGGGACTCGTTGACCCAAGCCAGACTGGATAAAAGGGATATCCAGGGCAAAGATGGAACCAAGGCACCTCGTTACTCGACCGCCTTAAATCCAAATGGGTTTAACACAAAACGAAGCGGGTGCCTAGCATTTCGTATGGTATCTGCAGAAAGATCAAAGCTCTTTTCCAAAATAGATCCTCCCTCCCTCCTCTCTTGACCCCCCACCCTACCCCACCTTTGCAAAGCGAGCAGGAATTCTCCAGCCCTTCCACTGCGAGATGCAAATATATACAAAAGCTCGGAGGCTCTGCTGTATTAAAATAATCAAGCCGTCAGTTGAGAAGCGGGGATGTGTTTTTATCTGCATCTTCCTTCTCTCTCGCTCGCTCTTTTTAATGTATTATTTTGAGGGTAAAGTTGAATAGGTCAACGCAGGGTAAACAGCCGCCCTGTCGCATTCTACAGCCTGAAGAGAACCAGATTGGTGGGTTGTATTTTTGATAAGAGTTGGAATAAATGGCATGGTTTAGAGCTTTCTTTCCAAGTAGGGTTTCACAGAAGCTGAACAATCGACCCAGACTTCCACCAACAAGCCCCTGGAGTACTAATTCTGGATTCCTATGAAAGTTTGAGGTGAAGTGGGGATAAGACAACTTTGTGCAAAATGTGTGTGTGTGTGTAAGTGTGTGCGTGCGTGCGCGCAGTTTGGCATCTGCTTAAACCTCTTCACGTGTCCTCCAGTTTAATTGCAACTTGAAAAGAATCAGTAGTAGTAAATTCTTTTAAAAATGTGCATAGCTGAACCTACCGTTACAACCAACAAATTAGAGACCGGTATTATAACATATTATTTTCTTATTATTTTTAAAAGGGAAATTATATGCAGAGCAATGCAAAAAAAAAAAAGTATTTTCCCATAAATATTGTAAATGTCAGAATAAATCAAGTTGCTTCTTTGACCGTAGCATGAACATGCCTGCTGTTTATCTTGTAAAATTCATTAGCTCAAATCTCTGTTGCTGTTAAGTAAAGAGAATGACATTTCTGCCTTTCTGCAGCCCCCAAGTGCTTTCTGAATGAAAGTTTCCAGGTAAGCAACTTGGAGGCACCATGTCAGGTCTCTTGTATATTTTGTAACCACTAACTTGTTTATACAATCCCAGAATTGCACATGATCTCAAAATAGTGAAGATCAGAAATGGAATTCTGCTAGTGAAATTTGAGATTTAAAAAAATAAAGTTAGAAAGTTGCATCCGTAGGATGGTTGTTTTCCAGTGGACAGCAAAGTAGCATGAATGGAAAGAAATGCAAAGAGAGATGATCTAGTCTAAGGTGCAATCCACAACGTGGGACAGAATGATCAAACACCGGGCAATGCTTCTGCCTTTAGGCTCTAATATTGCAATGGAAACACTCACCTCTCCAGATCCAAACTAGCTTTTTCAAGGACCTTGAAGAAAAGTTGAAAACGACGCTGATAAATCGCGTTTATTTCCTTCTGCAGGGTGGAAAAAACAATAATCTAGGAAAAGGACCTCAAGCCCAGGCGCTATAGGGCTGTATAGAGAAGGAGCCTTCCAGCTAGAAGCCGATTTGTGGTCTCAGACAAATTAAATATTACTGTTTATTACCAGCCATACTCCAATAAAATAAAGAGAGTTCAAGGCGATAGCTGCTATCTCACCAGCCCTTGCACCTATAGGACTCAGAGACGTCATCATACACGCAACTGGCCCATTCTATCATGGTTGACTGCAGCAGTAATGGAAGGTTAATTTGTATTCTTCTTTTCCTTTAAAGCCCTATCAGCTAGGTTTCCCCCTTTGCAAAGAAACACTCAGTGCAATGCAAAATGCAGCCAGCCTGGGGGGGAAATATAACCAAACAAACGTGCTTAATACATTTAAAGGGGAAGGACTGGAAAATCCGAGTGCTGTCTTGGAATGGAAGAGGAAAATGACCATTAAAGCCGTTGGCTCTCCAAGATCAACTCCGTTAATCCCATGGTACTGGCACGGTGCAGCTTACTTTTTAAAAAAATGTACAATTAGTGTTAATAGGAAAACTTGTCAATGAATGTTGAGGCGCCTCTGAAAGCCAGGGTACTGGGCTGTATGTAGTAAAGGATAACCCGGTTATGGGCACAGATTCCAGTGTGCTTCGGAGAACTATTATCTGCCATGATTCATGATAATAAAAATGGTAAATCGAGGCGGTTTCTTGACAATAGAAACTGGCCGGAAAAACGTCTCCTCTCAAACTCTAATGAGTCGCTGCAAATGACTAGCCAGAGCATGTAAACCAGATCTGTGAAGCTGGTGCCGTTTTGTGTTGCATTTCACCTCACCCTCTCTGGGGCACAAAGATTTTCCAAAAAGCTGCTAAAACATTGTGTCCTCCAACACACAGAGAGAGAGATCGGAAGAGAAATCAAGAGGAGAGAAAATAAATTGGACACCATACGGCCCTCAGGAAAACCCTAGACACAAAGCAAGAAGTTGTTGCAGGATCTGTGGACTTCAAGGTAAGTGAATACAGCAGAGACCCAGTGAGCTTCCCAGCTATTGTTTCACTGATTCTCTGCCCTACAGTTTCCCCTGTTTCATGCAAGTGACCTGGCTTTTTCTGGTGGTTGAGTTTGTTCCCCGCCTCCCCACCCTCCAACCCCCCCAGATTTTCATCCAGAGAACCATATTGGGGCTAGTGCTTCCCGGTACTCACCGGGCTAAAGAAACAGCGGATGCGGACTGCAGCATTCCAAGCAAACAAGAGCAGAACAGAGTGAAGGCCGGTTAAAAAGCAATGCAACCCCAACTCGGGGGGGGGGGGGGGGACACCCCCACAGATCGGCCCAGCTGGGCAATTGTCGCTTTTAATCACCAGGAAAACCGACTCCGTGCTCCCCGATCGAGGTCAGAATACACAGGCACGCTCGTTTGCCTAGAGTGGATTGAGTCCCTTTTTATGGAGAGCCAATATCGGACAATTTAGCAACAATCTCACCAGAAACGTTTTGCTTTACAGTCGGTCCTACTTTGCCCTAGGCTCCATCAGGCTGGCATTTACTTGTGTATAGTTGCAATTTCAGTTTTAACCTTAAGTTAAGTGTGCTCTTCATCTCGAAGGGTCTTGACGCTGTTTTATTTCAAATGAAACCAATGCCCGTTCACACACTGCACTGGGGCTGATATTCCCCCGCACTCCCGGCCCATATATTGAAACGTACAGAGTCCTATTAGCTGGAGGAGAAGCAGGTACCGAGTAGCTGCAATTACTTTTGAAGCCTTCTCTCCCACACTAGAATAATCAGACCAACTCCCAGGGTCGACAATGAACAAGTTTACTTGCTGCCTTTTCAGTCCAGCAACTCAAGCAGGTTGGAGATTTTTGACTATTTTTCCTTTAGGGTTTGCAAACGATGTCAAATATGCTTAAAAACTAAGCAACAGGAAATACAGATGTGTGTGCGTATGGATACGCGCGCACACACCTAAGCACATACATCTATATCTATACACACACACATTGTGTTTCTTCTGTTGCTCGGTTGTTCACTCATACTTTGTGTGTGCGTGCATATCTTTAGATATAGAGGTAATCACATTCTGTGTATGTATATATGTGTATGGGGGGGGTGCATATACATCTGTATATACTGTGACATTCTCTCACTTTATTCACAGGGCTGGAGCCTTATCTTCTCTATTCCAGCAATAACACCCATTGACTTCAATGGGAATGTTGCCTGAGTAAAGATTACAGGGTCAGGCCTACAAACATAACCTTTGAACGGGGGCGCCTTTGGGGAGCTTGCAGTGCCTACAATGTCCTGCATATATTACCAGTGGTATTGCATTTAGCTGGAAACACCCATGCAGCTCGTCTGACAACTTTATATTGTGTCAGTCGCATCAGTTACTTGTTTGTCTAAATATTTATTCGGGGAAGGAAAGAGAGATGGCAAAGCTGATGTCTTGCAGTGGGTCGAGATATCAAGAAAAAGAAATAATGCCTACCTGGGATCCCCTTTTTGGTAAAGGATTTCACATTTTAGGGTGACATTTGAACATTTTAGGAACCACATGATATTCACGAAATAAGGGAGTGTACCAGAATGCACTGGGAGTGCTTTTTTTACTTTTCCATTTTCTCTTTCGACTTCTCTGAAACAATCAATGTCTCCGAAACATGAGAGCAACTTCTGTCTTTCTTTCTTTCTTGGAAGTTGGCTACAACACCTGTCTATTTATACATTGGTGGAAATATGTCTTTTAAAAGTTTCTTAAGTAGTTAAAGAACTTCACTCTTTCCTAAATTGCTGGGGCTTTGACTTAATGCATTAATTTGAGGATAGTCGGAGTTATGCCTCCGTCAAAATAACGCCCACACTGGTTCAAGCTGTGTCAGTCTTCCCATTACAAAATCACCGCTTTTCTGTGGTGTATCACTCGGCTGCTCTAGAGTGAAACTTCTGGGGGTCTGATAGTCTGCGTCGATCATTTTTAAATTACAGGTGGACAACATGTTTTTTAGAAGTTTTGTGGTTCTAACCGCGCTTCCCCCCCCCCCTTCTTGTTACTTACAAAATATATATTTATAAACACATTTTCCTGCAGCCCATTAATTCCCCGTGCGAACTGAAGCTTTAGCATAGTTAGGAAAATGAAAAATTAGCAAATACACTGAGGTTTAGAAAGTGTATATTGTACAGGTACAGAACGTTCCTAGCGTCGGGGGCTAGGCAGCGTTTTTTTAAATGTCCCCTGGATATACAGCGTGGTGGTTATTGAGTCCCTAATAATGCACACTGATGTGACAGACCGGTCCAGAGACCAGAATAATCTGGTCTCAACAATCCACGGCTAAACTGCCCCAATGGTAGGTTTTGACTGTATAGTTATGTAAAAAACTTTGTCATCTGTCCTGACCCTATTAGAAGACCCCCTCTAATACATGGACAGTAGAGGCAATCGGAACCCAGAAGGAGACATTATGCTGTCTCCTAGCCACCATCTGCTGATTACGGGTCGCTAAAATACCTGTCGATAGGACAGAGCACACCCATGTTACGGTCTTCTGTCAATAACTCTCAGATGAAGGGTCAGAGACACCGATTGGAATAAATATAAAGGATTTGTTCATTCAGAGCTCATCTGGCTTCAGTGCACAGTATCAGACACATCTCAGTGGTAGATTTCCCCCCCCCCCCCCCTTGGTCTTAAGGAAACCATCCCCCCGGAAATTAAATACACGCGCGCGCACAAACCAGAGTTCACATGGTATTAAAGGTCTGGTTTAAAGCCAGGAAAATCAGAGTTAGTTTTGCCCTCCTGTACATAACTCAAGGAGTTTTGCCTGTGCAGAGTATTCCTATGGGTATATAGCCCATAGGGACTTCAGTGTTAGGCGCAAGGTATAGGGTAAGCCTAGGGTATGTCATTTAAACCAGACCCTTCATAATTTGAGTCATTGAAGGTCATGCTTTGTTGGGTTTATCTGCATAGAATCCATCTCTCCCCATTACAACCTGCCCCCCACCCCCACCTCCTGAATCAATGACTAACGCTACAGCCGGATAAAAGCACGTTATTGAGGCCAGAATAGCAACGCTAATCGTCTATTGCCAAACACAGGGTCAATCAGTACTTTATCTCGGTCTGAAGAAGAAAATAAAATAAGATAAGGCCCCATCACTCCAGCCCCAGAAAGAAAGTGAAAGGGGCAAGGAGGGCTAAAGCCTTCAGTGCCCCGGGCCTTTCCCGGAGAGTGATCTCTGCTGTAATGACCTTGGAGGGGGGAGGGAACCGCACTAAAACGGTTAGAATCATTCACCGAAAAACGCGGCACTAGTGACACCTGTAATTTTTCTTTCTCCCTTTTCCATAACACGAGTGAGGAACGGCTCTTAATACCATTTGCGGTATAGCTATTTCTGAAAGACAAGTACTTAGAGGAGGGAGAGAACACGTGAAGGTCATTCAAACAACTTTGTCATCTGGGGAAACCAGCTCCTTCCTTTCTTTCTTTCTTTCTTTCTTTCTTTCTTTCTTTCTTTCTTTCTTTCTTTCTTTCTTTCTTTCTTTCTTTCTTTCTTTCTTTCTTTCTCAATAATATACCTATACACATAACATCTAACTGGGTGTGGAATGCATCTGTTACATTACATGTGATTAGTGTGTCCAAAAGATGAAGTTTCAATGGTATTTAGGCAAAATATCTTTCTACAGTTAATATTTGAGCGAATATATGTACTCAGACATATAACTGATTTCCCCCCCCCTCTCAATAATAAATATCTTTGTAAAATCTCTTTCCTTTTGCTAAAAGCGTGCACAAATTTTCAGTTGGCCTCACGACCTCAACACATAGGTGTTTCCTTTTGCCTCTTATTTCCCTGTGGAAGGACCGATTTCCCCTCCAAGTTTTAACAGATTATTAAAAAAAACCCCACAGATTTTAATTATAAAACAAACAAAACATCTCATTTGGGGAAAAAATAAACACCCTTTCCTTAGCCACAACGTATTGAGTTTTCCTGGCCAGGAGAGAAGTTTGAGACTAGAATTCCTTTAAAAATATTCTTTCAGAGGAGCAAAGCCATTTTAAGCGGCAACATCTCCCCTATCTCCCGGGAGTTTTGCTGCTTATATGGGCATCAGTGGGTATAGAAACTCATTCCACATACACACTCAAATTTGGGCAAATGGCTGTGTAGGAAAAATCAATTAAAAACTCCGTAAGACAGTTTGATCACGAGGTAGCTATCATGTTTTTCGAATAAGGACCTCATTCTCACTTTCATCTTATTTGTGTTTGTGTGTGGGCCTGGTTTTGTGTGTGTATATGTGTGTAGGTGTATTTTTGTTTATTTATACATGTGTATGCTTGTGTGTATATATATATGCCTTTGCGTCTGTTTTGCTATGCATTTGTGAATGTGTATGGATGTGATCAACAATTCCTAATTAATAATGATCATATTGAAAGCCTAACCCATCCCAAACTTTTACACATAAGCCTCTTCTAAGATACAATCTCCTTACCTTGAAACACTCAAAACTCTTCTGACTGCGTGTAGAACCCACTTTCATATTGCCAGGGGCCTAGGTAAGTAGTTTCCAAGACAATGCTTATTTTCTGTCATTAATAACACATTAAAAAAAGATTCTTGTTTGGATCCAAGACTGTTTTTTATGGTTCAGTTGGACAAGACTGAACACATGTTAGTTTAAGCAGGTTCATGAAATAGCTGTAAATCAAATAAAGTTTACGAGTTTAGCAGGAAATACTGGATAGATGAAAAAAAATTCCGGAGAGCAACAGGCTGATGTAGGTTGCTTTGGTTTTGTCCTGCTCTGTTTCTCTCTGTTCTCTTGAGCATCTTGCGGATTAAAGGCCTCGGACCTCATTGGAGCCTCTGTGTTGGCGCCAAGTGGCATGTTATTAATCAATTGTCCATAGGTCCAGTACACATAAGAGAGAAATTTAATCACCAGAAACCAGACCCAACATAAAAGAGAATCT